GCACTGACCTGGGGGATAGTGGTGGGGGAAAAAATGGGGTACCATATGTGCTACATTTCCTGTGCCCCCTCGCAGGGTGTCTGTGTGTGTGTGTGGGGGGGGGGGTTCTCTTACTTATGTAGTTTGCCTGGATAACGTCACCACTATGGTGAGGAATCGGGCTGATTCACTTCACTGCTGGGAGACGATAAAGACAGTTTTTGTCTAATTCTGAGACATTTCAGGGCAGAACTGTGTGTGTATTTCTTGCCCGGGAGACATTTCAGGGCAGAGCTGTGTGTGCATTTCTTGCCTGGGAGACATTTCAGGGCAGAGCTGTGTGTGCATTTCTTGCCTGGTAGACATTTCAGGGCAGAGCTGTGTGTGTATTTCTTGCCCGGGAGACATTTCAGGGCAGAGCTGTGTGTGTATTTCTTGCCTGGGAGACGTTTCCCTACACAGGGAGAATCAAAACAAAGCCACATGACGGACTATCGCTGTACTCTGCCCACGTCCCGAGGTGTTATTATTATATATATTTTTTTCTGAACGAGTGTTTATTTGGGTCAGGCCACGAGCCCTTTTTCCGGATCAGTATCGCCGGGCAGAGCTGCAGCCGATCTGGGAGCATCCCACCAGGAAGCCCACGGATTGGCTCATTCTCCTAGAGCTTCCCGTCAGGCCGCCTCAGCCACAGCCAATCCTGTCGCCGGCCTTCATGTTTGTTTTTGTTTTTGAAGCAGACCACGCTTGGGGGGTGGAGGGGAGGCCCTGTCCTCTATGACCAGGCCCAGACTCGATCCTCCCACATCTGTCGAGGCAAGGCGGGGGACCAGCTCACTGTCTCTATCCACGTTTGATAAGCTACATGTATAAAAACACTTTGGGCGCTACCTGCCACATGGTACCGTTTAAAAGATGACAGGGCATTTCCTTCTGAGTTATGTCATAAGTACAACAGCTACTAAAACCTACTAATAAATTCCAGGCTCCTCTGTTTCATATGGGCATATTTATTGTCAGACGTACAGTTGAATTTCCAGCAGTATTTTGGTATCGGGTCTAATGGTCTGGGCGCTAAGCCGTCAGCTTCCCAGGGTCATGGTTCGGTGGGACGACCGGCGGGTCTGCAGAAGGTTTAGTCCGGACCCGTCCCGCTCCCTGTTTTTGTCCGTCTACACGGACCTCAGAGGAGCAGGCTTCACTTTTGATTTCGGATGAACGAGTGAATGAGAGAGCAAGCAGCTCCCACAGGGGTAAGGGCCCACGCCTGGACCTGTCTACATCGTGGTTTAGGGGTGATTGATATGAGGGTTGACTCCATTTTAACGCAACTGGAACCTGGCACCCCAGGCGCCGAAGCTGTCATCTGGCCACCGTGTGCGTTTGATGTACCATGCTGAAGGCAGCCAGGTCGCTTCTGTTGTGTGCCAGCTCATTTGGCATCAGGCCCGGCCCCGCCCTGGCGAGAGAAACCGTACGGCTGCCCCGAACTGCCACTACCACCGTTGGCCAGAACTTTCCCCCGGAATGCCCCGTACCGGGCGTCTTCCCTAATTCCATTACCGATCACGCGGCATGAGTGGCCGCAAGTAGAGTGGGATCCGATATGTTTTTTCCTGCCCGAAAGGCACTTCCAGGGCCAACAGTTCGGTGTCTTCTGAGGACAGGCAAACAGTGTCATGATGAGGGTGGTATTTGGCTGGTGGTCTGGGCCATGGGGGCGATTTGCCCACAAGGTAGGAGGTCTGTGGATTCTACCCTAGGGATAGCGGTGATGTCAGCTCAGGCTCGGGGCTTGGCCACGGTACCAAGTGCTGTGGCTGGACGGCTGGGAATCTGTGGGGAGCTTGTTATGGGAATTTTAATGATGGCGACACCTGGCTGAAGGCATGTATCCTAGGAAGGACAAGCTGTTGTATCATTGAGTGGTGCCGAGATATAGCCCACACAAAGCAACAGGCTGTTGTTTTTTTTGGGAAGACTGTGGAAGGCCGCCTGATGTGTCTCTTCCTGTATTCTGATTTTTTCCAGCTCCGTGCAGAACAGCGAACGGGGGAAGAAGATCGGCAACGCCATGATGACCACCAGCCGGAGCGTGGTGCAGACGGGAAAGGCTGTGGGTAAGCGTGGCCCCGCCCTGGTTATCGGCTGTGAGGTGGTGTATCGGCGCCTGTTGGGGACGTGGTTTGACGGGACCCTGTGTGTGTCTGTCCGCAGGCCAGTCGGTGGGTGGGGCCCTGGTTACCGCCAAGTCTGCCATGTCCTCCTGGTTCTCCACGCTGGCCCAGCCGACCGTTATGCCTAGCCTGGTTCCGCCCGAGACTAAGCTGTGACCCCCCCCTCCCCCACACCTCCACCCTGCCTTTCCTCTCCTCTCTCCGTTTCTTTCACATGCAAGACATTCTTGCACCCCCCCCACCCCACACACGCACCTAGAGATGAAGAAGCGGACA